GTGAATACATCGCGAGTATATATTTTGTGTATACTATTTTAAATTAACAAAATGCATTTTTTATAGGATATGTGCATATTACTTATATTCTCGCATATTACTTATATTTCTTACGTAATGCGAACATGTTTGTATCTTCTCTTCTTTATATTTTATATTTACATATTAATTCTTTTATTATAATGCTTGTGTTGTATTTTTCAAATCATATATTTATTTTCACATTTTTATTTTAAATTGTAAAATTTTCAATTGAAGATTCGTGTTTGGATTTTCGAATTCGCTATTCGGATCCGTATTATATCATTTATTATTATTATTCTGAATCGCATTGGAGTGATAATGCAGCTTACAGAGAAAATGAGGGTGTAAGTAGGTTTTCGCACCCTATATTACGCATTCACATTCCGTTATATTATATAACGACACGGTAAAAAGGCGTTATAGGCAAAATTCCATTTATTTGTGCGTTCACATATATTTCGCATCGAGTCATATACATGTCAGTCGGTGGTAGCAAGTGTGAGAAGCTCATAAAAACGAGGCACCCTACACATAGACGGGTGCTTCGTACACTAATAAAATATTGATAAAGAAAGGCCACGTCTATTTTTATTATTTATTCGAGGAGAAAGCTTACAATTATAAATCCTGATTAATATGCTTTTTTATCGGTTCGTCGAATATTTATGATGGATGAAGTTTTTAGCAAGTTTACGAACGTACGATATTATAAATCATGTAATATCGGAATATATCGCTCAACTGTATCTATTTCAATCGATATTAGCTCTTTTGTGTCGAGTAGAATATTGAAAGAAATAAAGTGATGGGCGCATAATACCTTCTCTATTTTTGCTGTCGACATGAATCCATTTATTATACGTATAATTATAATTGTGCAACAGATTTGCATGCGTAAAACAATGTTCACGATTCTTAACTCATGATATGTAAATATTTACAAGTTGTGCCAAAAATGTATAAACGAAATTATTCTATGATTTACTTCTATGTAGAATCGGCAACTCGATGCTTGAATTTTATTAGTTTTTATGGAGCCGCTCAGATTAAAGAATTAATCGTACAGAATGCTTAATCGTGAAAGCCGCGAACATAGATGTTTGAATAATGATATCAAACTATTCTTCTCTCGTGCGAGAAGAGAAATAGGACGTATCGAAGAAAGTGGGTCGGGTCCTCGTCGGTAGGCGAAGACGATGATGAACGAGAGGGTCAGGACACGCCGGAGAGAAAGAGCGGACGGGAAAAATAATGCGATTCTCGCGTGAGAATCGCGCGAGAATGCCAAGGACGCGCGAGGGAAGCTCATGTTGAGAGAAAGGGAGGGCGAGAGATCTGGGGAAGGTTCTAGGACGAGAGGGTGAGAGTTTCGAGAAACGACCTTCTCGCCTCTCTCCCCATTCCGAGCGGCGATTTGTCAGACGAGCGAATATACGCCCGTGAGATAACACACCGAAGTTTCGCAGACGCTCCGGACGACCGTGGACTCGCCGTTGACAAATGCGCGGCCGTCATGGTACCGTTTTCGGGAAACGCGCGTTTTGTATGCCGTACAAATGGCGATCGCGACATACGGGGATGCTATGATAAGCAAGCGTACCATCCAGGAACGGGATGATCCGGACGTCGCGGTCGCGAATGAGTCTAAATATATGTCTGCGCTCTTTTATCGCAAAGACGGTATCTCTTTAATTAAGCCGCGAATATCCGAGGCATTCGATTTTTGCATAATGGCATAATAAAAGTTTGTAGCGATGCTAAAATATCAATGGTGGAAAACTTGATGGAGAACTTGGTAATACGATTGTGCGACAATTAAAAGTACAGATACCAATTTATGCAACATGGTTATAAGTGAATATAATTTCTAATATCTATGTGTAGATTTTGTGATTATTATTTAAGATAACCACAAAATTTGATTATTATTTAAGATAACCACAAAATTTGTATATATGATGGAAATTATATATATGAGGATGGAAAAACATGCGCATAGTTTGCATCGAGAAATAACATGCATAATAATATGCATAAAACGCGTCAATACATTGTGAATCGCGATATGTGCATCACAATATCCCGGCAAAAATAAATATTTATAGTTAAAGAGCGCGTATTTTAATAAACGCCCGCGTCAATTAACGTAACGTTTCGGTGTAATGAGTGTGTTTTTGTAATTATGCGACTAATGCGCGTAATTATTGATACGGAACGAGCGTTTCGGGCGGGGATGGTAACAAATTGAAGAATTGAAAAGCAAGAGCGTGCTGAAAAACACAATATGAGATTAATATCCTCAAACTCTCATGAATAAAGCGGAAACATTAGCGCATATTATATCAACGGCCGTCAACGGGCGTCGTTGCTCGCGCGGATATTTACAAATACTATCTCGCTCCCAGGCAATCGATTACATGCGAATGCGGGCACTCGGTATTTGCGAGATTCTAGCGGTAATCAAATAGTTAATTATCGACGGGAAATCATCACGCGCTCACAAACATGATACGCGACAAGAAAAGTAATATCTTAAAATTCTCGAGTGAGAGAGCGAATAATTCTTTGTCTCTCGCGAGTATCGGGAAAAACGCAAACGCGACGCTCTTTTGTAAGCATCGCTCGTCGACGAGACATGGAGCATCCGCTGATTACGACGATGACAAACGGCAGCGTGGGAATTACGAAATGAAGGTTTAATAAGGTATGAGCCGGATCGGAGCCGTTGGCTACCGCCAACGGGTTCCCTGCAGTAATTAACAAATCCAATTTTAATCGACGGTTCAATTCGCCCGGCCGGCCGGAAACACACTCGCGAACGAACGGGCGACTGTCGTGTCGTTCCGTACATGCAATCGTCATATCAACGTGTAAAACTGATTAGCGGTACCCCTCGCGACGCAATTATCTCGCGCCGCGCCGCTCGTTCTCATTTTGTCGCGCGAAGTAAACGAAATAAGCGCGCGAACAAAATAAATTCCTTTGTCCGCAATCTACGCTTTTAGTCGACCTCGCTGGAAACCCGGCTGATGATAATTAAAGTCGCCTATCGATTGGGCTATTTACGATTGGCGGACTTTTAATTTTTCAGCTTATTGGCCGTGATTATAGACATATAAGTAATATTACATTTTATTACCATTAAAAATATATATTATGAATGTAATAAATATCAAATAATAATTATGATAAATTGTAAAAATTAAATTAGAACAAATGCATAATAAATATATGTCAAGTTTATTGTGTTTTATAAAACAATTTTGTGAGTGAGCAATTTTAAAATGTAATTGAAAAAAAAAACTTTATTTTTATTATTTAAGGGTTCTTTATTTAACAGATATATATTTTACAATATTTATGTCGCGATTACGCGGAAGAAATTGTAATTTATTTTTTAGAAGGGAAACTATGGTAACAATGTCTAGCTTATCGGAGGTGACCGTCTGATTAAAAATTGCGAGCATACTTTTTGTTATCCCTCACTTTGCATTCTTGCGCAGTTGAAAAAAATCGGATTCCGTGGCATAGTATCTGCGATTTCCGTACTTCGTCATCGAAAATCGTCATTCGAATTGGAACATCGTATCTCCCGCATCTGGAATTTTTGTGCATTGCATTGCACATTGGCATCCTGTGTACAAAAGTTCGAAAAGGGTTAAATCGGAAAATCGGTAATACTTTTGAGTATTAAAGGACGCTGGATACGCGATCGTTGAATTGTAAAACAAAGCGTGTATCGCGGCGGTGCAAGCATGCAGGTGCGAACGTTGATCGCGGATATTTCCGCGTTTTTTTTTTCGTAACCCGCTTGTATACGTCATGCATCGAGTTTCACATAGTGTAATACGTAAAATACCACGCTTATTTAGAATATGCGAAAATGATCTAATAAAACATTTTTTATTTTTTCCTCGTTTAAATCCGTAGAATAACTGTATTAAAAAATAAATATATATTTGGGAAATGCTATATTATCACGGCGATATAGATTTACCATATTTAACATAAAAATGAAATGGATAGATATAAAAAGAAAATATAAAATCGTTTTTACTTTCTTTTTTCATATTTTAATATATAATCTATATAAAATATAAAATATTTTAATTTAATATTTTATTGATATAATTGATATAATTATATATATTGAAATATTGATGTATTAAAAATAACTTTTTTCTACCCACGTGTGCACTCATAATATTTTCGAGTGGAAATTATGGTAGTCTGCAACGCGATGTGGTCTTTACATGCGCGATACGTTCAACGTATATATACGGTAGCTGCTTTAACAGGGCACAAAGACGGATTACACGCGATACTCTAGGCGTCACGTGCACGTATGCGTAATTATAGTCACGCGCTGGTTGACCGACACATCGACGCGCAATATATTTACGGTTTATTGCAGCGCGTTTATGGACAGAATTATAGTCGGCGCTCGTTTTAATGGATGTCGAGATTGCACCTCCACGCGGTGGGCTCGTAATTTCACATCGCGATTCGATAAATTATTAAATTCGATCGGTTTGACTATTGTCAGAACGCGGCTCGGTTTGGACACTAAGACTACGTTATGTTCTATTAAGGTATGATCGATTATGGTTTGCGGCCACATTGCCAACCGATCACGACCGGATTAGACCTAGATCCGCCGATTGTGGTTAGATTCGATCAAATATACAAACAGGCTTCCGGCTCTTCAACATAAATGCGATATAATGACATGTATTTGTCACTTTCTAATGATATAATGGCTTTTTATATATTATATATGAAATTAAAAAAAAAATATAAATAAAAATAAAATTTAAATTTCAAGAATTAAAGATTAGGATATTTTGGATTTAATAGAAATTGAAAATGAAAGAATAAGACGATTCGATTCTACGTATTGACAATGTTCAAAAGTACTTTTAATATAATGTATACTTAGAATTGTTGCTGAAGCATCTGTCAAATGTATTTCGTAGAGCGCCACGTCTCCCGGTGCCAACAACGATGGCCTCACGAAGCAACAGCTGGAGCTCATCCAGCAGATTATGCAACAAACGCAACAGCAACAACAACAAACAACTACGCAACAACAGCAACAACAACGAACTACTACTCCATCGACAGCGGTAGCTACACAGTTACAGAAAACACAAAAACCGTCCATCAAATCCACCGCGTCACCCGGCAACATTTCCAACAATTCCGGAAGCGGGAACGCGACTAGTAATGCAAGATCGAGTCCGAAGCCGAAAGTCTGGAGTCATTCGCAGGTAAGTGCGAACATTGCGAATAAAAAGTGCGAGAGTATACCATATTTTTCAATGTTTGTTGATTGCAATCGTTTGTCGAGTGCAGACGTCAAAAATTGCACCGAGCGCTAATGATTGAATACAATTAATACGATTTAAAAATAGTACACTGATTCTAACAATGGTCACACTTTTTATAAGAATATCGCAAAAAGAACTAGAAAATTCTATTAATATTCACTGGTGAGCGTGAAAAGGGAATTTATATTTGAAAGGAAAACTTTTCATTAATTTTTTTTATTAATTAAAATTAAATTGATTAATAAAAATATGTCGATACATTTGAAAGGTGAGAAATAATGCACTAGATATTCATTTTAATAAGCAAAATACGTAATTCCAATTATATCTATTATATTTAATATGATATTTCGATCGCGAGACAAACCGCGTTAATGAATATCACGATTGAGCTTTGAAGACGATAGCTCACATCCCTTATATATGATTTTATTATGTGCCGCATACAACGAGATCCCGAGATAACGCAGAGAGCAATAAGCCCGAGTACCTTCAGACTGCTTTCTGTTGAAAGGGCCCTTCTTCCGCATTAGACAGCGGAAGTATTACCGGGCGCGTCCAAGATCCCGTGTACATGGCTCGTTGGAACTCACCGCGGTAATCTTTTGTGCGGCGAATACACCGCAAATCGCATTACGTATCGCGGCCGGAGCGAATACCATCCCGGTACTCGTAATCCTCCCGCGCTCGTCGACGAGGACTCGTCGAATATTATACGGAAACGCGAAACAGCGAGATACCCTGCGCGCGTGACCCCTTTGTGCGAAATTCTGTTCATTTTCTAGTTGAAGCACGAAGCATGTCGGATAGAACGATAAGATAGACAGGCACCGTATCCCGAAAGCCGTGTGTAACTGAACGTGATAAATTAAAAAACATTGAGATAATTTTGCAAACATAAGGAAAACGTACTTCAGGTTTCATTAGAATTGATATCATCAATTCTATTGAAAATCAACACAAAAATTGTTTCAATACAATTCGGCCGGTTCTATTCCGTAACTTTTTAACGAATGCGTTATAACCATACTACATATTTTTAATTTAGTTACAAGTTGCGTTTTATAACGCATGCGTTTATGAAATGTTGCAGAATTGTATTGAAATAATTTTCATATTGACTTTTATTAAAATTGATAATACAAAACATTTCCCAGCAATTCTTCGGTCATCCTCCACTTTAATGGATTAATTTCTGTGTCGTATTAAAATAGCAGTCAGGCCGGTTCCGCGAACGGATTTTCCGAGACAAACATTCACGAGCGCAAAGATTAAAGCTCTCATCAAAAACACGTGCCATGTTTTAATTTATCCCTCGGATTATACGAGATGCTCGCTTTATAAAATTGCGTGAATCCTTAATTTGTCGCATTCCCTTTTATATCCTTGTTCTTCCGGTCGTCCGAATCTTCGGCGATCAAAAGACCGGTGTGAAAGGTACCTTTGAGCGAACATTTTCACGGTTCGGCGCTTTGCAGGACTTTCTTTTATCGTCCTTCTGTCGGAAAAAGGCGCGTGATTAGCGTAGAGAGTCGTAGCCGAAAACGCAATCGAATACCTTGCTTTCGACACGTTGCAAAAAGTTGTGTCTTTAAAATGTTCTAAAATTATTATGTCTCGCTATATAATATATAAAAAATATATAATATATAATAAGATATAATATATAATATATAATATATAATATATAATAAAAATATATAATATATAAAAATTGCTGTTAAATTATTATTAACGATATCGTTAAAAATGAAGGAAAAATGTATTTTCTCCGGATAATGATCTCTTCCTTCTGCCATTATCGAGTACCTGTATAATAAAAAAGCAATGTATAATATCCACATCGATACGAAGCGTTGACAAGAAATATTAATTGGAGTCTTCGTATGCACCGAGTGTTGGCCCAAGAAACTCGTCTCTTCAGCGTACAAACATATCAAGCGAATGTCCAACACGTCAGCTGCATCGACCCGATAATAGCGACCGAATGCTCCCAGACTGTCCATAAACCGTTTACTGAATCGTTACTGAATCATGCAAACGGTCGTACACAGTTACATTTCATCGGCAATTTTAAACACGATCCGTTTGCACTACGTGAAACAGCTCGTATATTTATATTACATACGACAGATTTTTTTTCATGTACATAAATTGCAGTAATAATAATTGATAATTAAAATAATCAAGTGTCGCTCAACCGCGTTATGATATCGGCACAATTAAGATTACTTTATTAATTATTAACCAGAAGTTTATACATCCTGATGGGTAATAATTACATCGCGGTCGATGACTGTACCAGTTTATCATGGCTTAACTGTCGGCTGTATAATTACGTTTATCGCTGACCGTCTGCGATAAAATTGCTCATCGATCGTCGCGTTTGATGCAAGAAAACGTACGCGCAGTCCATCATCGAAGAAGATCCTTGCTAGCCTGTATTTCAGCGCGTTTTTCCGCGACGGGATCCACCCCCGCCGCCACCAACCCTCGTCTCTGTACCGGTGGCATTCTCTACCACCTAACTTCATTACGTTAATGGCATAATAACCATTGCGGGCGGACCGAAGAGCTTATGCGCCGGTACGTCGATGTCCCTAAACACGGCAAGAAGCGAGCGCGCAGTAAAATCGATCCGATCTCCATTAATATGTATGAGGTCTTCGCCAATGGACGCGGAAGGGCTGAAAGGAGCGGGGGAGTGAAAACGGAGGGGGATTCGTACTCTTCTTGCCGTTCCCTCCCACCTCGACGCTTCGAACTGTGCGGACGATCGCGAAATGCTCTCGGAAACCGTCGTAATTGCTTAGGAACTCGGGGACGAACGGATTCTTCGGGATCTACGCCGCGATGAAGGGAGGATTCTGCATGTAAAGCGAACTCTGCAAACTCGATTTAATTGCGATCTCTTGCACAATTATGTTATGGTCGCGAGCGTTAGCATTGTTGGCGGGCGTACAGTGAAAATGTATATACATCAAATTACAGCTCGAGATATACTTTTCATCCCCGTTCATTCTTATTTATATATTTATAGAAAATTTATTATATAAAATAAATATAAAGATTCACTAAGTGTCTTAATGTTACACATGCGTATATAATAATCTTCCATAAATACATAATAGAACTAATAATACATATTTATTTATTTTAATAATTATATAATAAATTTTAATAATTATATAAATAATTCTAAAGGAACTTTTAAACGCGTCGAATATCGTAAGTCGAGGCTCGGTTATCGTTGCCATCGGTAATGCAAGCTAGAGACATTAGCTAGAGACAGACGCATAAAGTAAGCCGTTAAATTATATTTAGCCTTCTTATGTCATTTTGATATCGTAAACACGTCTCAACCATTATCCGTCAGTTTTATATCCCGGCGCACGAGAATATTCATCGTATTTCCATGTATATTTATGATCTCCGTCCCGTTCTAGTCCAGCTACAAATATATACACATTTGGGTATCGCGCAAAGATCCGCGCGTTATACTATTGCGGTACATCGCGGGAACAACGAAATTTTGTCATCTTATATCCGAAACGTCTTTTTTATTACGTGCGAAGAGAAGCTACTAAATGTAATTACAATTCAGCTGCATAACTATAGCTTACATTGCAAATTACATTTTGACTTCTCCCGATGTTATTTTATTATCTAATAGATATTCATCGTCACATGTCGAATTCGCATTATATATTCAAGTACCGATGATAGGATATCTATGGATGCACTATATGCGTTATATGCACTGTTCATACTAGTCACAATCCGAACGCGTATGTAACATATCGTCCGTGAAATATACACGTTGCCGCGATTACGGTGACGCAATTATACGTTAATCCGATTATATTTAGCCTTCTTATGCTACTCTGATATATCGTGAACAAACCCGTTGTTTATACGATACTAAACTCGCAACATTCCGCGTACACGTGTATCAATCTATGCAATCGAACGAGCACGGATCCGGAAGAGCGAATCGCGAGATTCCACTTGCGAATCGCGTCGCAAACATGCGATTATCTTAGATTTATATGTATCTCGTCGTTCTCAGAGAACACAGGGCGAAGCGTCACGAGAGAACGTGCACCGGGAATCTCGGTCGCGTATCGCGAACGTAACCGAAGGCTTCTTAGTCATCTCCTGGCAACGGAGTCTCTCAGCCGCGAATAGTGCGATCTCGTGTACAATCGCTTTGGCATAGTGCACACTCGAGAGGCATGCGTATCACGTCGTGTTACGTTACTAGTTTACTCCGATCCTACAACTGCATCAGGGCTCCTTTTACGAGTGCCCGTTGTACTATGTATATTTTAAATATAAGATATAACAAATTAACAAAAATAATATTAAATTAAATCTTTATATGGTAAATTAAAATGATATATAAACGAATTTTTATAAAAACCAACATTTCTCACACGCGAAATGTTCTCAATTAATTACATTTAATTTAGTCTCATGTACTTTTTACACTTCGATTTTTATCATTATTTTTAATTATATTAATTTTAATGTTATTATTGAAAGACTATCGATATGGACTTAAAAGATTATATACGACAAAGAGAGAGTGCCAACTACAGTTGGCGTTTTACGTGTTTTTCAAGCCATGTAGCACTAAACGCGATGTATTCCTCGAATGCGACATATTCCAGCGATATCAAACCAGTACGACGTCGTAACTGTATAACTGCTGCGTTATAACCCTTGCCCCCGAGTTACTCTCTCAGCTGCTACTTGTTACTTACGTAAATATTCACATAACGTACATGTTCTGTAGACTCCGGTTCATTACGTTTACGAGGTGACACGCATATTAAACGCTTCGTGCATTTATATTAATTTCAACGTGGCCAAAGTATTAAATTTCAGGCACTCACTTTTCAAATATACTTGTAGAAACAAAAAACATTTATTTAGAC